TTAAATGTTTTTACAGAGGTCTTCACTGGGTTCAGTCACGGATTTGGTACAGATGGCCTCAAGAACACCTTACTCTCTCAAGGCTGTGTGCTTGAAACAGCTCCTAAACCTGAGGGTCTACAAGCTGCAGGAAGATGAGACCGCCCAGGGCGGCCTGCAAGCCGTGATTCTTGCCACGAACCCTCCTCCCTAAATGTTAATATTAAGGTCAACATAGGGGTTCACTCCCTCACTCAATTTTCTCATAAGGAAATTCATGCAAACACCATCAAGAAAAACCAAAACCAAAACCAAAACAACAACAACAACAACAAAAACACCCTGCAAATAACTTGGATGTCTACTAGCACAGGAAGTGACTAAATAATGAACATCCATACTATGGAATATTATGCAGATATGGAAAAGACTGGGTTACATCTCAGTGTTCTGTCCAGAATGGGTCTATCGGCCGAATGTGGTTATTAAGAACTGGAAATGTAGCCAGTTCACCCTGAGATTTTACACATTGGCTGTAAGTGTAAAATACACACTGGGGCTTCCCTGGTGGCGCAGTTGTTGAGAGTCTGCCTGCCGATGCGGGGGATGCGGGTTCGTGCCCCGGTCCGGGAGGATCCCACATGCCGCGGAGCGGCTGGGCCCGAGGACCATGGCCGCTGGGCCTGCGCGTCCGGGGGCCTGTTGCTCCGCAATGGGAGAGGCCACAACAGTGAGAGGCCCGTGTACCGCAAAAAAAAAAAAAAAAATACACACTGGACTTCAAAGGTTTAACAAGAAAAAAAGAAGGTAAAATAACTCAATTTTTTATATTTATTAGTTATATGTAGAACGATATTATTTTCATATATTTGGTTAAATAAACATATTTTTCAAATTAATTTCACTTGTTTCTTTTTACTTTTTAAAAGTGTGAATACTGGACATCCCTTGTGGTGCAGTGGTTAAGAATCCGCCTGCCAATGCAGGGGACACGGTTTCGAGCTCTGGTCCGGGAAGATCCCATGTGCCGCGGAGCAACTAAGCCCGTGCGCCACAACTACTGAGCCTGCGCTCTAGAGCCCACATGCCACAACTACTGAGCCCGTTTGCCACAACTACTGAAGCCCATGCGCCTAAAGCCCGTGCTCCACAACAAGAGAAGCCACTGCAATGAGAAGCCTGCACACCACAAGGGTAGTCCCCGCTTGCCGCAACTAGAGAAAAGCCCGTGCACAGCAACGAGGACCCCGTGCAGCCAAAAATAAATAAATAAATTTATTTTAAAAAAAGAGTGAATACTAGAATCTTTAGAATTACATGTATGACTCACATTATATTTGTATTGGAAAATCAGTGCTGGTCTAGAGGGATGTTCATTATATTTCAAGAGAAAAAAATAAATCACAGAGTTTTATACATATATACACACATATGTGCATATATACACATATGTATGTGTATGTATAATATATACATATTATGAACCCATAAATATATACGCATGTTATGACTGCATTAAAAATATCCCTATATATGTTATGTGTTTGAGTGAGCGTGGGTGTGGGATATGTGTGTGTGTTCATGTAAGTATAGAGAAAAGTGTGGAAGGATACACACCAAACCATTAACCCTGGTGGGGGTTGGAGAAGGGAGGTTATATACATTGTAGAGCAGGGAAAATTACTGTTTTTATTTGACGTGTTTCAAGGAGCTCGTGTTGTTTTTGTAGCTGAGAGAGAAATTAAAATAAAGTATATCTAAATAAATATTTCTTAAGCTTGTTATATGCCAAGCCCTGTGCTAGGCTCTGGGCATATAAAGATGAAGACCTCCAGGGAATTCCCAGGGACAGGGTTTCTATTTTATTCTCAGGAAGTGGTCAAATAGTGTGCGCAGTGAATGTTTCCTAGAGGAGCTAGTTGAGTTGGAGCTGAATCTTGCATGACACTTAGTTTTCCAGATGGAGACGAGTTTAAAGGGTATTCCAGACAGAAGGAATTAAACTTTGGAAGACAGGTATACAAGAAACAGCCAGAGGCCTTTGGAACCTGCCAGATTATGTGAGAAAGTAGAGGTAAAGGAAACTGAACAGGTAGGCATAGTTCATGTTTAGAAGGGCCTGATGTGTTAACGGAAGGATCTTCATTCAGTGCTAAAGGCTTTGAACTTCCTTCATAGAACAGGACATGACTAGATTTGTATTGTAGAAAGATCATTCTAGCTTCGGAGTGTACAGAACACTGGAGAAACTGGGGAAGCAATGGTTTCTGCACTCAAAAATCTTAGAGTTTGGGAATTCCCTGGCAGTCCAGTGGTTAGGACTCAGCGCTTTCATTGCCTTGGCCTGGGTTCAATCCCTGGTCAGGGAACTAAGATCCTGCAAGCCTCACAGCAAGGGGTGGAGGCTGGGGGAAGCTTACAGTTTACTTTGGAAAAGAGACAAATGATAACCAGCATTTATCACATGCTTACTTTGCCAGGTACTGTTCTAAGTACTTCACAAACATTAACTCTTTTATTCTTCAAAACCTACCCTATGGTGGGTAGCATTTTGATCCCTCCATTTTACAGAGAAGTAAACTGAGACACAGAGGACTCGAGTGACTTACCCAAGGACATCCAGGCAGGCAGGCAGGCTGGCTGACCTTTGGAGGTTAAGAACTTAATCCTCATATGATATTGTGTCTTAGATTTATAATGGAGTGTGTTCAGTTCTAAGCTAGGATAGCTGTCTTGGGGACCACCTAAGATGGACTGGGAGAATCAGATGATTCTATTCCAGAGGAGATGACTTCTAGTTTGAGATCAGTGGCATGGACTAGAGTTCATGGGGAGGGGGGCTCAGAATTCTCCAGGGAAATGGAGCAGATTGTTTAAAGGCCCTGAGCTGGGAGAGAACATGGCTATTGAGAGGAACTGAAAGTTATTCAGCATGGCTGGGTCATAGAGTGGTGGGGAGAGAAGGGGCTAGTAAAGTGAGCTGGGACAAGACCAGGTGGTTGTTAAAAAAATTTTTTTGACTGCATCCTAAAAGCAATGAAAAGCCATTGAAGGGCTTCCCTGGTGGTGCAGTGGTTAAAAATCCGCCTGTCAGTGCAGGGGACATGGGTTCGAGCCCTGGTCCGGGAAGATCCCACATGCTGCAGAGCAGTTAAGCCTGTGTGCCACAACTACTGAAGCCTGCACGCCTAGAGTCCGTGCTCTGCAATAAGAGAAGCCACTGCAATGAGAAGCCTGCTCACCACAACAAAGAGTAGCCCCCACTTGCTGCAGCTAGAGAAAGCCCGTGCACAGCAATGAAGACCCAACGCAGCCAAAAATAAATAAATAAATAAATAAATAAATTTATATATAAAAAAAGAAAAGTCATTGAAGTGTTCAATTTAAGGAGCAACTTGTTTTGCATTTTAGATTACTGTGGCTATTATGTGGTGAATGGATTAGAGAGGGCAAGCCTGCAGGCCTAAGATCAGTCAGGATGTTGTTTGGGTCATCTGGGGGGCCAGGCTTCAGGGGAATGGAGAGAAACAGACCAGACAACTGCTTGTTGAATACCTATTACCTAAGTTAAACTGGCATATATTAAATACAATTTTTGTAAGGATTTTTGGGTAACATCAATGCTGAAGCAGTTAGCATACTGTATGAGAATTCTTTGTATAGGAATGAGATGGGGAGCAATGGGAGGAAAAAATGAGGATTTTGGAGCTCTATAGATGTGGGTTTGAATTCTGGTTCTACAATTTACTAGATCTGTGGCCCTTAATGAGTCACAGGAGCATTCATCAGGTAAAAAAGCTCTACCTTCTCACTCTGGTCTGAGCTACCTCATCTCCATCATCTCCAATATTACAGTATTCTACTATTCTGAACTGGTCTCTGTTTCCAGCCTTGCCCTCTTGATCCAATAACTCAAAGTACCCAAAGTAATACTTTTAAAGCATAGATTATTCATTTTCTGCTGAAAATCTTTCAGGGGCTCTCCATTTTACTGTTCATTTAAGTAGCCTCTACAACCCCATACCATCTCTACCCCTTTCTCACCTCCTTTCTACTATTCTCTTTACATCTCCTATACCCCTCCCATTTCCTACTGTGCTCCAGCCAGAGACTTCTTCATTTTTCTTCAAATACAGGAGGCAGCCTCCTGCCTCAGGGCCTTTGCACTGGCCTCTCTCTGACCTTTAAATGTTCTTCCCCTAAATTATTCCCACTGACTGCTCCTTTACTCAAATGTCATCCTTAGTGAAGCCTTCCATAACTAACCTATTTAAAATAATATAAAGGGCTATGGAAAAAAGAAGGGAAATGAGGACCGGAGTATTATCTTGTGTGTTTTATTTATCTTGATTACTGTAGCTCCTCCCATGAGAACACCAGGATTTTTGTCTTTTCAGTTCACTGTTGTATCCCCATAGTCAAAAATCAGTGCCTAGCAGATAGAAAACACTCAGATGTGTCCTTCTAATGATATTTAATACAGCTAATAATCACAAAGCACTTATTAAATAGGCCAGGCCTAGTTCTAAACATTTTACGTATTTAATCCTCCCCATAATCCTACGAAGAAAATACAATTACTATTTTCATTTTACAAAAATGAAGGAATGGAGGAAAATGAGGCTCAGAGAAACCAAACAACTTTCCTAAGGTTTCACAGCTAGCAAGTGGAGCGACTATTTGTGGAATGAAATGAATGAAATTCGACTTCGCGCAGGGATGGAAATTGACACGGTGGGAGCGGATGCGATCAATTCACGCGAGTGCGTGCAACTTGAGCGCGCAATGCACCGCCTGACGCCAAGATCTAAAAGAGGATGAGAGGGTGCTTTGGAAACAGCGCGGAGAAGGCTCCAGCGAGCCACCGAACTGCCATCACCAGCCGCCACTCAGTCCACCGCGGCATGGAAGCAGGAAGTAGCGGCGGGCGTCGCGTGGGGTGACGTCACAGCGGCGCCGGCAGCGAAGGGCGGGGGAGGAGGAGGAGCGAACCGGGCTTGGGGGGCGGCTGCACAGTCTCTGGGATCCCCAGGCCTGGAGGGGGGTCTGCGCGCGGCCGGCTGGCTCTGTCCCCCGTCCGGTCCGGAGCGGGCCTCCCTTGGGCCAGCCCGATGTGACCGGGCCCAGCGGAGCCTGAGCTAGGAGCGGGTCCGTCGCGGAGCCGGAGGGCGGGAGGAACATGACATCGCGGAGGTGAGGAGCCCCGAGGGCCCGGCGCGGGCCTCGGCCCGGCCCCCGCAGCTTTCGTTCAGCCCCGCCCGGGAGGGGGCGGCCCGGCTGGGCTTCGGACTCCCGCCCAGGGTCGCGGGGGCAGGCTCCGTCCCTACCCCCTAGCCCTCCCGGGCCCGGGGGTCCGGCCCCACCGCGCCCCCACCCCTCGGGTCCCCATTCATTTCCTGCCTCCCCGAGTTCCGGCTCCCACAGCCCTGGGGATGCCCGTCTGGACGGGGCAGGTAGAACCGCCCGGGGAACCGCGGACGCCAGCGGCCCGGCTCGGCGCCGCATTCCTGACCCATTGCCTCATGAGAATTGCCTCATGGTGATTCCGAAATAACCCCGCTCACTTGGGGAGGCTCCTCGGCCTGGGACGCGGGAGGGGAGAGTAGGGGCCAGTTGCGCGGGG